CTCACTTCCAAGGAGCATTCCGGCTGCACTTCCTCCAGGACAGATTTGTTAGTTCTTTTAGCAGTCAACAGTACTTTCAGCATTCTTTGTCAACACCACAACTCAAAAGCATTGACTCTTCTTCAGTCTTACTTATTCATTGTTCAGCTCTCACATGCATATGAGGTGATTGAAAATAGCATGGCTCGTGTCAGGTGCACTTTAGTCTTCAAGGAGATGCCTTTGCTCTTCAGCAAAGACTTGAAAGAGGTCTTTTGCAGCAGATTTGCCCAATGCAATACGTCTTCTGATATCTTGACTGCTGCTTCCATTGGTGTTGATTGTAGAATCAGGTAATATGAAGTCTTTGTCAACTTCAATCTTTTTCCATTTATTGTGATGTTGTGTATTCGTCTCGTTGTGAGGATTTTTCTTTTCTTAAATTGAGGTGTAATCCATACTGCAGACTGTAGTCTTCAGTCTTCATCAGTAAGTGCTTCAAGTCATCCTCACTTTCAGCAAAGTTGTGTCATCAGCATATTGCAGGTTGTTAATGAGACTTCCTCCAATCCTGATGCCATGTTCTTCTTCATATAGTCCAGCTTCTTGGATTATTTGCTCAGCATTCAGATTGAATGAGTATGGTGAAAGGATACATCCCTGATGCACTCCTTTCTTGATTTTAAAGGCAGTGCCCCCTTGTTCTATTCAAATGACAGCCTCCTTGGCTATGTACAGGTTCCTCATGAGTACAGTTAGGTGTTCTGGAATTCCAATTTTTCTCAATGTTAATCCATAATATGTTATGTTCCACACAACTGAATACTTTTGCATAGTCAATAAAATACAAGTAAACATCTTTCTGGTATTCTTTGCTTTGAGCCAAGATCCATCTGACATTGGCAATGATATCCCTCATTGCACATCCTTTTCTGAATTCAGCTTGCATATCTGGAAGTTCTCTGCCAATATACTGCTGCAACCATTTTCAAATTATCATTAGTAAGATTTTACTTGCATGTGATATTAATGATATGTTTGATAATTTCCACATTCTGTGGGATCACATGCATGTGAAAAAAAATGGCTTGGGTTAGGCAGACCTTAGTCTTCAAAGTGACATCTTTGCTTCTTTATACGTTAAAGAGGTCTTTTGCAGCTGATTTTCACAGTGCAATATGGCACTGATTTCTGATTTCTTGACTGCTGCTCCCATGGGTGTTGATTGTGGATCCAAGTAAAATGAAATTCCTGACAACTTCTATCTTTTCTTCATTTATTGTGATGTTGTGTATTGGTCCAGTTGTGAGGATTTTTGTTTTCTTTCTGTTGAGGTGTAATCCATACTGAAGGTTGTATGTACTCTTTGATCTTCATCAGTAAGTACTTCAAGTCATCTTCATTTTCAGCAGGCAAAGTTGTGCTATCTGCATATCGCAGGTTGTTAACAAATCTTCCTCCAATCCTGATGCTGCATTCTTCTTTATATAGTCCAGCTTCTTGGATTATTTGCTCAGAATATATATTGAATAAGTATGGTGAAAGGATATAGCACTGACATAAACCCTTCCTGATTTTAAACCCCCTTGTTCTGTTGGAATAACAGCTTCTTATCTATGTATAGGTTCCTCATGAGCATAATTAAGTGTTCTGGAATTTCCATTTTTTGCAATTTTATCCCTAATTTGTTATGATCCACAGTCAAATGCCTTTCCATAGTCAATAAAACACAGGTAAACATCTTTCTGATATTCTTTGCTTTCAGCTAAGATCCATCTGACATCAGGAATGACATCTCTCATTCTATATCCTCTTCTGAATCCAGCTTGAATTTCTGAAGTTTACTGTCAATATACTGCTTCAACCATTTTGAATTATCTTCAGCAAAATTTTACTTGCGTGTGATATTAATGATGTTGTTTGAAAATTTCTGCATTCTGTTGTATCACCTTTCTTTGGAATGGGCACAAATATGGATGAGTAAGCACCTTCAGTGCTGCATCCATTTGTTGAAACATCTCAATGGGTATTCAATCAATTACAGGAGCCTTGTTTTTTCTCCAATTCCTTCAGTGTAGCTTGGATTTCTTCTTTCAGTGCCATTGGTTCTTGATCATATGCCACCTCCTGAAATAGTTGAACATCTCTCAGTTCTTTTTGGTACAGTCACTTTGTGTATTCCTTCCATCCTCTTTTGATGCTTCCTGCATCATCAATATTTTGCCCATAGAATCCTTCAATATTGCAACTGGAGACTTGAATTTTTTCTTCAGTTCTTTCAACTTGAGAAATGCCAGTTGTATTCTTCCCTTTTGGTTTTCTAACTCCAGGTCTTTGCAAATTTCATAATACTTTGTTTTATCTTCTTGAGCTTCTCTTTAAAATCTTCTGTTCAACTCCTTTATCTCATTTCTTTCATTTGCTTTTGCTACTCTCTATTCAAGAGCAAGTTTCAGATCCTGGATAGAGTCAGAGAACAATGTGGAACAAAACTCAAAACATTAAAAAAGACCAGGTTTGCTGGTCTGATAGAGCTGGGTGAGACCCTTGACACTATGGCCCTTAGCTACTCTTCAGGTCTGGAATTGAACTCATTTTTGTGGCTTCTAGCCAAATAATATACAGGCATATGGGATGGACATTTATATCAGGCATATACACTACTTGGAGCGATCAATCATGGAAGAACAGAAGGACAGTATTTGCACAGGGAGATAGCTGGGGGGACAGGAGTGTATGGGAGGGAAGGACACAGGGAAGAGGTAACTATAGGGAGGAAATGGGAAGAGAGCTGTTACATTGTGGGGAATTGCAGTCAATGTCATGAGACAAAATGTGTATGAACTGCTATATGGAAAATGTATTTGCTCTGTAAACTTTCACCCAAATCACAATAAAAAAATAATAAAAAACAAGTTTCATAGTCTTTTCTGACATCCATTTTGGTCTTTTTTTCCTTTCCTGTCTTTTTAATGATCTTTGGCTTCCTTTATGTATAACATACTTGATGTCATCCCACAACTCATCTGGTTTTTGGAGACTGGTGTTCAGTGCATCAAATCTATTCTTCAGATGGTCTCTAAATCCAGGTGAGATGTAGTCATGGTCATATTTTGGCTTTTTGTGGACTTGTTTTAATTTTCTTCAGCTTCAACCTGAATGTGCATATGAGTAATGACTGTCATGCAGTCAGCTCCTGGCCATGTTTTGACTTTGATACTGAGTTTCTCCATTGCCTCTTTCCACAGATGTAGTCAATTTGATTTCTGTGCATTCTATCTGGCATGAAGTCCATGTGGGCTCAGCTAGGTTCTCTGCTTTGGATCTCACATGGCTGAAATAAAAGTAGCAACTAGGCTGGGCTCTTATCTGTAGACTTTGGGAGAAAATCCATTTCCAGGCTCATTTAGGTGTTGGCAGAACTCAGTTATGATTGATTGTAGGAGTTATAGGACTGAGGACCTCATTTCCTTTCTGGCTATCAGCTAAAAGACATTCCCAGATTCTTGAGGCAACCACATTCCTTGGCTTGTGGATTTGTTCCTCCTTCAAAGCCAGCAGTGGCATGTTGAGTCCTTCTCAAACTTAGAATCTTTACAACTTCCTCATTTGTCCTCCTTGTCTGCTTTTAAGGGCTCATGTGATTAGATTAGGCCCACTTGGATAGTCTCCCTTTTTCCATATAACATAACACAATCACAAGAGTAACACCAGGGGTAAAAGGAAATAGGGGCTAACATTCTGCCTACCACCGCCACCAATCATGGGATGGGTAAAGAGAAGGATATGGGTCCTAAATTATGGTCCCCAGTGAGATCTCTCTATTGAACAGCTATGACTCTTCCCTTTCCCTTTCATTTCCAGATAAAGGACCTGCGTCATGAGAATATCAATCCTTTCTTGGGCTTCTTCTATGATTCGGGGATGTTTGCCATTGTCACAGAATTCTGTTCCCGAAGGAGCCTAGAAGACATACTGATGAATCAGGATGTGAAGCTGGACTGGATGTTTAAATCATCACTCCTGCTGGATCTCATCAAGGTTAATGGGAAGACTGAGGAAATCTTGAATTTTTCTATAGATCAGAACTTTAATGTTTGGGGACATTTTCTTTTTCTCAACTCAATGTGATCATTTTAGTAAGATCCTTCCCCACTCATGGTCTGTCGCCACTGCTCTTCTCATAATCTATTTGTCTATATCTGTTATAAGATATTGATACAGAAAGGGTTTGCCCCCAACTCCCATTTGAGGGCGAGATTTGTCTTTACTTGCTCTTATCATTGAACATTCTTCTGTTTTAAGGAAACCTTCCTTTCATCCCATCTCTTTGCTTTCAGGATGTGGAAAAGTACTCATTCCTAGATTCCTTGGCACTGCTTAGGCCTACTTCCTTGCTTTCATCTCCCAAAATATGATTAAGTCTAGAACTAGGTGATGGGGTGATAGATGTGGATGAGGAAATCAGCATCACCAGAAAGTCAAAAGACCGATGGTTCTATCAGTCAGCACCTCCAATCTCTGAGCCAAAGATTATTGTCAGCCAAAGTGGTTCATGGATAAGTCCATGGATGGGCTGGTGGGGAACCCATGAATACATTGGAAGGATATGCAAATTGTGTGTATGTGCATTTTTATAGGGGATTCTGGATAATCAATGACTTATTGGGCTTTAACATATTTATCACATTCTTTTCCTTTGTATGGGGGCATAATCATTTTCAAGTGGGATTTATAGATGTTATCTCATTTCAGTTCTTGGTAGGAGGAGAGGTGTTATTAGCTTTTTTTTTTTTTAACAGAGGCTCAGGGATATTAAATAAAGTATATTTTGTTACATAAAGTCTGGGGCACATAGTAGGTGTTTGACATATCTTTATCGACTACTAAGTGGCAGAGCTGATTATAGAGTCCAAATCTCCTGATTTCCATCCTAATACTTTTTTAACTTACCATGTAAGGGAAGTCCTGTCAGCTAAGGGAGAAACCTCTAAATGACAGTCCTCTCAAATCTATGATGAATGAAACCCAAGCATTAGAAAACTTAGGGGAAATCTTACCCACTGTAGACCCTGCTTGGAGGTGTTGGAGACTGCAGATTCTCTGAGGGTACAAGATGTAAAGCATACAAATAGAGCCAGATATTTAAAAGAACTCTTGGTATAAACAGTTCCTTGATGCCTGCACTAGAATATGGATGTATTCATATGCAGGATTATAAAACCCATGTGAGAGAGAGACCTGGTAGATCACATTTGAATGCCATATGAAGGCTGCCAAGCAAGCAGCAGAGATCAGTAG